TAAATAGACGTTCCACCGTTGCACTGAATGGAACGGCAGCGTTGAATTTGAGAAACAGGCTGTGCAGGGTCGGGTAAGCGAGTGTCGGCATCTTAGGTGTCCATGACGAAACATGTGAGGTTTGCCTCGGGTAGAGGGTCTTTTATAACAAACTTTCCTCCTTTTTTCTTTTTTCTTCGTCAAGTTTAGATTGTTATGACTGGCCCCTCTTTATTCCGACGTCGTTCTGAGAGTATGCTGAGAGAGTGCACCACACCTTCAAGGGTTCAAGTCTCGCGCCACGACGATGAGATCATCCGGGCGACTGCGCGTTCCGTTGTAGTGCTAGTGTTACGCTACTGAAAAAAAATGTTTTGGTTTAACAGAAGATGAACCGAAGTATACTTCGCCGCTGACGCCGGGTCCAACAAAAGGAGGATCTCCCAAGGGTAACTCGCAATCCTCGCCGGCGACTACAATATTCTGACGTGAGTGACACGCCTGACAAGTAAATCGTTTTTAACGAAGAGGAGGTCTCCCTGGCATGGATGGTCGGAAGGACGCGAAGGATTACGTGAACAAGCATCGTCGCTCGTATACAGTTGCAGCTGGAAGCGGGAACGTGCTCCCATGAACGGATTATCCGTGCAGGGTTTGTGCGCGGGAGAGTCCGGCTTTGCAAAGGCGTATGCGCTGACGACAAGGCGACCATGGGAACAGGCACCCAGCTGCGAGGTCATTCCAGTGGCGCCTCCCGTGGAACCTACCGCTTGAGTCAGAACTCACTAAAGACAGACAACAACTCTCGGAGTGTCCCCGTCTTTCACGGTTGCAGCTGGAAACGCGGCGCCTGCGTGCATTACCGAATTAGGTCAATACCCGACCAAGGCTTGTTAAACATCTCTTCCTGCGTTCGTGCGTGCCGGTGTTATGTTTTGGCTGCTCGTCGCCACCTTGACCCAAGGACGCCTTCCCGAAGAAGGGGGCCCCTTGTTAGGGAATGCCACTTTATCTGCCGGCGTCTTAATCATTTCTGCGCTGAAACTTCCGTGATGGGCAAAATTAGCACTATATAATTTCGAAAGCAGTTAGTAATTCGAGTAGAAGTTACCTGAAAAAGTAGTTAAATTAAACTACTAATTACCCAAATCAAGTTGTAATTGAAAGTTACCAAGTTACTCGAAAACGTAGTTAAACTACAGTAGTTTGAGTAGAGTAGTTGAACTACGTCCAAGTCTGCCCCAGACCGACGTGCCGTCGCCAGGAGCCAACTCGGAGAACTAGCGGCAACCAGCCGCTAGACTATTCAGCTCCGAAAGTCACCACGCCGGCACCGTTGCGGCGAGGAGGACTCAGTCTGGTCAGCGAGTGGCTAATCTCCGAGCGCCAGCCCGGCGAGTCCACCCCCTGCCCGACTGCCCCAGTGCGACGTGTTCCCAACACCCTTTTCCGCACCTGGATCACTGCACCCGTCGTGCTGGACTGCTCCACTGTGAGGTACCTATCTCCCTCTCCCCCTTGTACTTTTTCTTCTGGCCCTCAAATTGTAAAAACTCCGTATTACTAGATGCTTTATTATCATTCACTTGTTTGTGTATTTGTGTAGTTTTCTTAGTGTGCTTTGGTTGTATGGTAACAATCTTTTGGATATGAAATGTGCTTACTATCCCGTTCGTCGCAGTGCTCTTGTCTCTGTCCGCCGCGTCCCCCGAGTTTACAACATGTGGGATACCAGACGTCCGAACCCCTCCCTTTGCGACCCGCGCTAGTACCGCCGGCGTTTGTGACATAAACTGGCGTCCGCGACGGGATGTCCGCTCTTCGGGGATGGTGAGGTAAAGACAAGCCGGGCGACTCTTTGACGTGAGAAGATAGTGTGCCTATTTGCAAGTTTATTTTTGGTTCCTTCTGAGGCATAGCTTCGCCTGTCGCTGTGTTCGGCAGAAAATTGGAGAGGTTGGGAAAGTACTTGCCCTAGGCAAGCTAATCAAACTCAAAGGCCCATATTACAAGAAATGGTTAGAAACCCACTGGCCGAAGCCAGAGGGGACTTAAAGGAAGTCAAAGAATGGGAGTGGGAATTGCGATGCAAGTCCCAGGGAATGGGCAGGAAACCTCTTTTAAAAACGTAGACAGAGATGTGTCGTTTAGAATGAACGATCCCGCTTTTAGAAGCCGAGGACGAGTCCCTAGAGATGTGTTAAGAATGGAACCTTCGGCGACCTTTTTCCGAGTTTCAACGCTGCGGAAACGAGTCACAATCTGTCCGGGACCGTCGCCCGCTGGTCGGGGCCTGCTCGAAACGAGTCCCGACGAGTCCGAGACCGTCGCCTGCTTGTCTGGGCCTGCGGAGACAAGTCTCAACGCGTCCGTGACGTCAACGGGGCGTGTGTGTGTGCGTGTGGGTTCGTGCGCTCAGGAAAGGGAGAGAGGCATGGCCTAACTGTGGAGGACTTTGGCTGCGTCGACATGGCGGCGGACTTTGCTGCAACGCACTTGGCGGCGGTTTGCTACGTCGCACCTGCTGCCCTGGCGGGGAGTGAAGAAGAAACGGACCCTGTATAAGACGGAGCGTGAGGCTGCTCCGATGTTCTCTCTGATTTGGACGACTGTATCGCAACCATGTAATTAAACCGTTCGTTACGTTACCAATTTTCTCACCTCCACTGAACCACTGGGTTCTTCACTTCGGGGGATGGACGTCGTCAAAGGACAGGAGGCCTCCGGACGTGCGGCTTAAACCCCGCCTCAAACAGAGGGAAGGAAGCGTAGCTCACAATGAGCCGCGAGAAACGCGGAGGACCCACCCACGGGTGAAGTAGTTGAGCCACCTCAGGACGCGGGTCGAGCACAAGGCCAACCTCGTAGAAAGGCGCGTAATGCACCTCGGAGTGCGAGTGGTGAGGTGCTCGAATCCGTTGCACAAAGTGCGAGCCCACCAATTGATGAGGCGTCAGAGTCAGAGAAGGAGCACCTCTCGGAAACTACGCAAAAGGTCGAGGTGATGAGCCCCAAGCTTCCGGATTCACAACGAGAAAGCGCGGACCAAGTAACGGAAACTCGACAAGAGACGCGCACAGTGGCAGGAGCTGATCCTGCTATGGGTGAGGGAGAGCCCCGTCAGCTGAACCACGTATGAAGGGGGGGGGGGGGGGGGGGCGTGAGGGGTCGGGCTCAGAAGAACCCGTTAAGGCCCGTTCACACTCTTGAGACCGAGTACGACCGAGAGAGAATAGACCAGTTTTTAAGCCTCTTGCGATCTCTTAGCACCAGTTCCGCTGTAGCGCATCCCGTCCTAAGCGATCGCAAGAGGCTTAAAAACCGGTCTGGTCTCTCTCGGTCGTACTCGGTCGCAAGACTGTGAACGGGCCTTTAGTCTTGAGGAGTCGGGGAAACCTTTTTTGTCACCGGGCGAAAACCTGCGGACGAAAGCAGAACGCGCGCCGTCGGAACGCTGTAAACAGGGCTGTGTACAGGCAGACAGATGCAAACGCGATGACACCGAACCCGCTCGGCCGTTATTTTCAGTCGCGTGCACACTGTTATATAAAAGGGCGCTTGAGCGAAGTGGGTGCTGACGCGAAGCGGGGCGAAAATGAGCCGCTGGTGGATCAAAGTGTGCAGACGACGGCGTTCGGAGAAGGCTCTGCCGCGTCTTGAGGGGTGCCCCAGGAACACGCACACCAGCCTTTAGCGTAGGCTTGGGACAGCGTAGGGCTGAAGGCCAGGCCAAGGGGAAGTCAGGAGAGCTCGTGTCCGTCTCCCTGCTGTCTCCGGCGTAATCCTAAGTTCCAAACAACAGGAACGTCGTTTCTCGTCTCTCGTCGACATCGCACACGCACGCGAACGATAGGACGTGTGTGGCACGTTCATGGTACGTGCATATTCTAAGCCGCATAATGCCCCACACATCATTCGCTGCATTTACATGGGTGCGACCTTGGCGCATCGAATTGAGATTTGAATAGTTTGATTGGGGAAGCACTCACTTGATCGAATGACGTTTTAGCGAACGGCCACGTTTCACCGAATGACACTTTAGTGAATAGTCGGACGCCGCGAAGCGGCGTTTTCGGGTGGGCCAAATGGGTTGACACTTTTGTAATGAGCCGCCGCAGACTGTCGCCGCGAAGCGGCGTAAAGCGCAGCGCGGCGGATGGGTTAACGCGCGCCCCGGTCATTCGCTAAAACGTTCATTCGCTCAAATGTCGCTGTTCGCTAAAATGTCATTCGCTCATATGATATGGACCCGTTTTATTGATAGCAGATGGGTAGGAGAGGAAGAAGTAGGAAGACTTTCGGCGTGTGATTGGTCTCTACTCGGCCGAATTTTGAAAGTTGAATTTCCTAGAAATTGAATTCCTCAGAAAAGCAATTCTTTTCGGGAAAATCGAACGCCGTTTCCCTCCATACATGCCAGAAATGCATACAGCGCGTATTTCGTTCCCACTTGTCCCAGACACTGTTGTGTGGTAAAGCATAAAAAAAAAAAAATATTGGAGTCGACCAATGACTTTAAAGCTAGCGCTCGGGTTCCCGAGCAGCCATTGTTCATTTTTGTTTTCTAATTTTTTTTTTTTTTTAATTTTGTTAGTCTGTGTATTGCCGAGGCCATGTTCCAGATTTCTTAGGTAGACATTTTGACACCTTGAGCTAACCATTGCATTCATTGTTTCCTTGAATTAAGAACGCTAATTTTTGAAACCATATGTAACGCAATGCATAAGCCACGGAAGATATTGAAATATAATCGATAATTTTGAATACATTTTACTACTGAGTTAACAATTTTTTTTTAAATTTTATTCCGATGCAGATTGAAATAGATGCGACTGAAAAATAAAATATATCAAGAATACAACAGAAGACACTTTTAACGCAATACAGCCCAGCTCGTAGTTACTGGGCATCACAACCTGAAGAACTAAGGAAGAGATATACAGTTTTATAAAGGATATATACAGATAAAGGGCACATGAGACTACTTTATATATCGCAGTCGCTGTAACAAAAGTTAAATCCTAATAACATTTAGGACAATAGCACCACGTTTTGAGTAAATCTGCTTTCCTATTCTCCAAGTCCTCCTTCCATTTACTGACGGCATCTCCATTGTCTTCTTTGCAGGGCTGTAGAGAAAGAAAATGCAATTTTTGTTTTACAGCAATCACAACACAAATGTCAGCGTTCGAACAACTTCGTTTCGCTGGTAGTCGTTTCATCGTTTTATTAATTGCAGTGTAAGTCATGTCAGTGCCTCCTATATAAGTTACGCTATGCCTGTCAGCTTCATTCCAAGAGGTGTTCAGGCCCGATGCTTCACCTCACAACACGCGCGTACGGCTAGGTAGCGCCGCCTGGCGGATGTTCGTTTTTTCTATTTTTCTAGAATGTTGTATTTACATTATTATTGAAGATATATCATATATATGTTTTTTCAACAACACGTGGAACACGTTTGTGGATGTGACCGCACTGATCCAAACGAGTTTCGCTGAGACAAAATACGAAACTACGAAACGAGCACGGCCAGGCTCAGCTTTTGCAGCGCGAACGCGGAGCACTTGGCCGCTTGACCGTATGCTTCGGCGCCGTGTTGTACGGAACGGCGTTCCAAGGAACGGCGTTCCTGGAACGCGTTCTTTTTTAGGAGGAACGAAGGAACGCCGCCGTTCCGTTTTACATCGGTGGAACTGGAACGGGAACGCGTTACATTTTTAATGGAACGGAAAGAGTATCGGCGTTCCTTTCTTTCGCTCAGTGGGGTAATTTTTTGTTTCATTTCTAAGAGGGAAATTTTAAAAGTATAAGAACTATATCTTTACGAACATATTGTTTTTAACTCGTTAACTTTTTGGCTGCTTATCTTCGGGTTTATTTTGTGTGGTCCTCACCTGGTAACAGCCGGGTACAGGAGAGCTGGTGGATATTGATTCTTTTTTGAGTGCCCGAGACTGAGGTACAAAAAGCAAAACTTATAGTCGCAGGAAAAGACACAGAAAGAGAGACGTTTCAAACTCAGCTCCTTTCTATGCCCCCCCCCCCCCTTTCCTCTAATCCTCATACCCCCTCCCAGAAGTCTAAGGCCGACTAAAGCCATTTCTGAACTTCCATAAAGAGATCTACAATTATAACAAAATCACAGACTACCAGACATCGAACGCACCCTTGAATCCCGAACATTGGTCACTTAAAAGATATATAAAAATTAACCTTTATCCCTTCTCCCCTTGGCCCCCGCCTTCAAACTGAACAACGAATCCAACCTCCACGAAGACGTACTTGTAGTTTTCAAGACTAACCTTCCAAAAGCCCTATCCTCTCCTTCACTTGTTCGTCTTGCGGACAGCAACATAGAGTAGCAACTGTTGTTAAACTGTTGTTAACTTCAAACAAGGGACTTCGTTAGATTGAAACGTGTGAGGCTGTTGTAAAACGCTCGTGCAATGTGGGGTAACAGTATATTTGGCTCGTCTGAATCGTTCAAATATGGTTAAAAGCTGATATTTTTAAACTTGAATATATCAACAAATCAAACCTTGATTCCGCTTGTTTTCTTCTCTTGGTGCCCTTCCATCACGACATATAAATGTGTATGTTCCCATTTGATAAGATTGATAAAAAGATTCGATTAATCTAATTAAATATGGTAATCAGCAAAATTCAAATGTAGCGTATATGTAGCGATACGTTCCATTTCTTTGACTGTAACGGGAACGAGTTTCTTTTTCACATATGGAACTTGTAACGGGAACGCGTTCCGAAAATCAGACGGAACGAGGAACGAGCTGTCGTTCCTTTTTTTGAGGAACGTGTACAGCACTGCTTTGGCGGCAGTTTGGGGCTTTAGAAATCACCTTGGATCAAGCGCATAGAAATATTTGGCGCCGGGTCGTGTGCGGGTGAAAAGTAGGAAAATAAGAAGTGATATTTCGTTGAAAACGGCGAGCTCATTGAACCTCCTACGGAAGAGATGGCTGGCTTCACTACACGGCAGGTTAGTACGCCTAGGTGGCTCCACCGCACGGCAGCCACAAGTACTATTTGCCCTCACCCTTCCGCTTGCCAGTGTTCAGAGCTGACAGGCATTGTGTAATTATATAGGAGGCGCTGGTCATGTATAAAAAAGTGCCTGATTTAGTGCCCCAAAAGAGGCACCAAAATGTACTTTTTTTCAAATGAGATTGAGGTACTTTGGAAGGAGACTTCGTTTCAGTAGTTGCACTAGAAAATATACTTTTAGCCTCTTGAATATTTTTGAATATACTACTCTTGAATATACTTTGAACATACTACAGATGACGTAGGATATCTTTTTTTTTTAAGTATCCTAATTTTTCAACATTCAAGAGTGTGTGTGTGTTCTTTTATTTAACAGTATTTAATGTATTTCTGCCATTGTATTTATGTTCGTGAGTATGTGGCTTATTTAGCGTTTCCCTGCTACAATGCTTCGGCGCTGCAGGTTGTTTTTGCAAATAAATAAATAAATAAGGGTGCTGTGCCAGTATTTCTGGACTTTCACTAAATAACGCGCAGCATTAATCTCTGACATTCACAACCTACGATACATGGGTTAGATTATATCTCATATTGGGCAGTCGCAACAAAATTTGAGAAAAAAGTGGCGTTAACTTTTTCAGGTTACAGGCAAAATGAGGGGCCACGTGATCTCGTGCTGATTGTATGCCGCCCAACGTTCATCACAGCCGTGCACTCGGGTTGGCAAGGATATCGCTCGTGTGAAGCCGCAAAGAGTGTTAGGTGTCGGCTGTTCCCGTCGCTGCAGCGATTGGACTCGAGTCACCACCCGAATACTTGCTGGCGCATTGATTGTCATGAGACCAAACAGTTGGCCCCCGTCCAACCTATGAGATACTTTTGAATATCGTTATTATAAGATAGTCCAGTGACTACAACAACGATACGATACCCGTTACTACGGTATTATGCTTGGCGAGGGGTAAGTTGCAATAAAACGTCCACACGTATCGTCGAAATTACACAACGACAAAGACGCTTCTTGGTCAGTGGCATTGCTTGCAAGCATGCTAGGATGCGAGGACATAAACATACATAAGTATGTTTATGTGAAATGAAAAAACGTTCCAACCTAATGTCGTTCCTTTCGAGGTGAGCACGTTGGTTTCATGTAAAGACATGAGAATGAATGAAAAGCCTAACAAAACACGAAAAGAATATCCATAAAAACTGCACTTTCTGTATTCTGTCCCTACATAGTTTTTTCCCTTATCGCTCCAAGGTCCTTTAAAAGCTACTATTCTTACTTGTTGCTGTTGCTAATGTTGCTTCCGCTACTAATACTGTTAATTTTATGTTATTTATTCTTTATAAATACACTTATACCATTATTTCTTATAGTTTATTATCCTAATAAATATTGCAGCAAAGCAACCTGCAGGAGAGGTCGTAAATTTCAAGCAGAAATTCGCCTCATAACTAGGCTGAAAGACGGATGGTATGTTGCACGTGGCAATTGACGCCCCATCTAGACCCCCAGGAATCGTCGAGATGGTTGCTAGCCTAAACGCAACACTGAGACGATTTAGGAATTGTTCGCTGGATCGTCAGGTTCCGGTCCCTACTAGCATTTTTAGTAGTCGACGTGATCACGTGGAGTTGGGTATAACTAGGGCTCCGTGTTTTCGGAGTCTATTTTTCGTGAAATTCGGAGGGTGTTTTTCGGAGTTTATTTTTAGCGAAAATTCGGTGTTTATCGGAGTTTATTTTTCATATATCCCCAATTCTCCGAAATTCGGAGATTAATTTCGCAGTGCTTCCTATTAAAAACAATAAATAATAACCGGATGAAAACGTATGCCAGTAAAAAATAAAACGCGCTTGTATGAATTAACATTTCTTCAGTTGATTTTGACGTTAGTGTCATTGGCACTATTAATTTGTGCCACGACAAACGTCGCACACGAATGTGGCTTCGATAAACGTCGATACCTTAAAATCAATAAACTGCCGAAGATAGTCGCAAGGAAGCTCGTAGTCATCCCATCAATCTATCCCGCCTCCGCGCGAGGTGGATGTAATAGAGAAGTTTCAACTGCACCTCTTCCCTATCTTATACAATGTCTCGTCAATGTTAGCCCCAGAAACATACCCTCTCCTCTCTCTAAATCCCGAACCCCATGGCCCAAACTAGAAACCAAAAGAGTGGCTTTTGTCGTGACACGAATGGTACGATGACCTGTCTCCCTGAGCGAACCTTGACGAGGCGCGCCGGAAGACCCCCTTTTGACAACGGTCCGAGGCTTGAAAAATAATTATGGTGTCAATTTCCTAGGACCATTTAACCTGCGCTGCCGGAAATGTAAAAAAAAAAAAAAAAATCATTTTTTAATTGTTTGGGGGGTGGGGGGGGGGGGGGGGGGTTGGGGGGGGGGTTGGGGGGGGGGGGGCGGGGGTGGCATGGGCACATAACAATTCGGAGTTTATCGGATAAATCCGAATTGCCAAAAATTTTACCGGCGGGTGTTTTTCGGAGTTTTTCGGATTTATCCGAAAGCACGGAGCCCTAGGTATAACATGAGAGGCATTTTCGATTTCATGAAACAATTGTGAACAATGTTATGTAGTTATAACACGGCAAAAACTATTTTATGCTATGTGCCGTCAGTAGACTGGATATAAGAAAATATCTGATCATCTGAATATACATAACAAAGATGGCCGGCTGCGTCTTGCCCAGGGGATCCGATGAAATGACGCATGGTCTTGACAATGTAAAAAGAAAAAAAAAATGTTTCACGTATTACTTCTGCACAGAGCCAATAGAGAGCCAATAAGTACCACTTGTGTTATGGTTAAACAAAGACAATGGCTAAACGTTTGGTACAGAATTGTGCCATGCCCTTAGTAAAGTAAACAGGAACGATAAGTACCTTTTTAAAAGTATATAAAACCGGGTACATAAATATATAAATAGATTCCCGAAAAAAAAAGTGAAGGCAGCGAGAACTTTATTTCGTGACTTACCGGGCTATTGTTGCGGCAAACCGTGCCTGGCAATTTCAGGGTCTCGGTACCATCGTTGCATGTCACAGTACACCCGGGATAATTAAAACGTTGATAACCCTGCGGTGCATTGACATATAATGTTAAAAACAAACATTAAAACAAATCTCTGTCCATGAGATAAAAATTCGTTGGAATGGTGAATTTAAAGGCAGACCCTCAATCAGAGAAAAAGAACCAGACCCTCACTTTACTTCTGCCAACAACCCCCCCCCCCCCCCCCCCAATTAGGGGAGAAAATCCCCTCTTCTATATCCTCACCATTTTCCGGCTTTTTATATCTACAAAAATATATAAAAGATGCGTGTTAGTTTTATGAAACTGGAACTCAGAGTCACTTCTCGTATAAGGCACTGCTATAAGTGTAGGCTTTGAAAAAGGACCCTACTTTGAGAAGTTGTGTGTTCCTTCTTACTGAAATAATACATGTTTTTAATAGAAATGAATACCGATATAAAGTATAACAAAGTACCCAAATAAAAAAATCGAAGGTGTTTTTTCTTTATTTGCATCGGAATTTTTTGTTGTTTGATTATACCCCATGTTTGCCTAAATATATCATGGCTATGTACAACTCAGATACGTTATAGATATTTTAAAAAGCCATATATACATATATAAGGACAATACTATCTGAAAAGTATATGATGGTGATTAACTTATTTTATGAGATACAGCTAGGCCTCCAAAGTTTGCCATTTGTCATTCCAGGAGGTATGTTGACAATTTAAAAAAAAATAATAAAATTTAAAAAAAAACTGTATAATTACGATATATTACAAGGAAGCTATACCCATAGTTTGTTTCTAAAAAAAGTATTAGAATTATCCTAATTTTATTGTTTTAGTCATTACTTTCAAACCCGCCCCTCGATCAGTGCGCGTTAATGCAGCTGTCCACCTCTGCATGCTTTAAAATTTTTCCTGTCCCCATGTTTATTTTCTGGTAAAAACTAAGTTCAAGATTCATTTATAACACACACTTGAAATTAGCATATAAAAGCATCAGTTGATTTAAAGACGACGACAAGCCACCCTTAAATCGATCTTTTTTTTAAGATCACCCCACTAAGTCTCGCAGCTTAACGTTCTAATACGCATGCGCATGTGGGTTAGGGCTTTTAAAGGAAAATTTAAGCGGGTTTGTATTTTAGTAAAAACGCTTGAATCGTCTCCATTTGGCTTCAAAACCCACAAAAATCGGTATTTTTTTTTTTTTTTTTTTTTAGTTTGGTGCATGGAGATTGCACAAAACAATTTCAGAGTATCGCTGAAGCCCCTCCTCGGAGCGTTATGTCATAAAAGAAGTTTTCAAAGTCTCCGTTCTCGCGCATATTGAGCGCCTATCAAAGCTATGCACGCGCACTCTCGCTATTTTCCAAAAGGCCAGAAAAAGACGTTACGACTGGTGTTAGTGCGGGGAAATATACCTGGCAAACTTGCAAATGCACGCGCTGCCCACGGGAACGACACGCGCTTAGCGGTTTTTCAGGGTTTTTTTGTTTAGGAACATCTTCGGGGAAAACCAACGAGCTTGAGTGAACTTAGAGCGGTAAACCAGCAGTCAAAAATGGCAACCCCCCGGTTGCCGCCATCTTGCCTGTTTGCCACATTAGTTATCACGTAACGTTAAAATGGTCGCGCCCAGAGGTGGGCCAGATCGAACCTCCTTGGCCAGATCAAATTGGCCAGATCGCGGTCAGCAGGTGGGCACTCTGGGGCTGCGTTTGAATCTTACTCGAATGGCGCCGAGTTATTCCGGCGGATCAAGTCACGTGACAATGCAGATACTGCAATGCTGGACGCGCGTAGGTTTTCTAACGCAACGGGTACGAGACCCTCACCCAGGAGTGAGATAGAAGCTGCGTTCGACTTACTTGCACCTCCTGCGCATGTGCAGAAAAGTGTAGGGCAGTCTACTTCCGGTAAATGTATTGAGATACAACCGGAAGTACACCGCCCACACTTTTCTCCTAAACCTAACCGAGTGGACTGTGATTTCAATAGGCGCAGCCTGCGTAGGCGCAGTTTCAAACGCTGCTGGCGGCTAAATTCTCGTCTTTTCTCGCTATATTTTGTGTTTCATGGTACATGTATTTTCCCAAGGACATTGAGAAAGCATTGTGCCACATTTGAAAAAACAAAAAAGCAACAAAAAAAACTGCAAACTATTTTTGTTGGGTACGCGCGCGTCAGAACGAATGCGACTGGAATGTATAGTTCTAGTTATTTGTTTTTTCTTACGATAAGTTTTGACGGCGCCGCGGGATTCGCCGCATGTGAAACGACAAAGCGCTTTGCTGACAGAAATAAATTGCAACAGAAGAGGGCCGAAAGGCATGCATTTTTCACGCTCACAAATAACGTGTTTACCGATGGACAGGACACGGACGTACAATTGAGGAAGTGTTAACATTCGAACAATATATCGTACGCACCACACGATGCAGCGTTATCCGAAAAGAATTTATTTGAGAAAGATCTCAAATAACACAGTCACAGTCGACGACAGTCACATCTTGACGATCGGACGGAATCCGAAATGACTTCGTTTTCGGGCACGTTTTGGGGAGAGCTTCCTTTTTTCACAACCGCACCAAGGCAAAGAAACGAACGCGACTGACCCGTTTCTCACCCCAACCCGGACAACTATTTTTGGAGAGGACTGAGGATTCTACGCGGATTATCTCTGGGAGGGGGGAGAACAATGTTCGCAAAATCGCGTCGAGGGTCGTTCGACGTCCTTCACCTCCTTCGTTTCCCGTGAATGTCGAGCAGAAAAGCTTGAATGGCAGGCACTTAACAGCCTTATTTCTCACAATGGAAGATAACCCAAAACGGGTACGCAGCACGCATAAAAAAAATTAAGTGGAAACTTTGAAGAGAGGCGAGAAAACGTCGAATGCAAAACCGCAAAAACGTAGGCAGAGAACCGCGCTGAGCGGGTCTTCACAGTCCCAGAGAGTGGCAGAAAATTTCTAGCTGATAGAGAACGCGAGAGTCGCGCCAGCCGCATCAGCATCAGCAACATGGCGGCGGCCTAGGCCATTCCCTCTTTCTCCCGCTCTTTCCTCCCCTCCGCGACTCGCACACTCTGCTATTTCGACGCTGGCGCCGCCAACGGTGTCCCTCCGGCGAGCGCCGCTGCAGAAGTCTGCTGGCAAATCCTTAACTCATCTCTGTGACGTCACGGCGCGGTGGTGGCGCGTCGGTCGCACTTCCGGTCTGGGGATGTGGGCAGAAGTCCCCATGCCAGACGTGTATTCCTGCGTTGTTTTGAAAGGAACCAGACAAAAACCCGCCTTCTCGTCAAAACGCCGCGACTGGGGCCGTACCAAAAGTGTCGAGAAAAATTTGAAGGTCAGTTTTCAGGTGCTCAGTTCGTCCGAGAATCAGGATATGTGCCGTAAAAACGGAAAAGCAGACGCCTTCGGACAACGATTGCTTGGGCGGGAAGCACTTTGGGTTGAATTCACGGACACTTGTGGTCATCAGATTTATTTGTGTTGTTGCAACATGAACGCAAGAAAGCCATCAAGTTGTGCGGACCATCTGCGGACTACGTTCAGTGCGTCTTCAAGTTCAAACGGCCGCCTGTTCGTTCGAGCTGTCGTCTGCTCTCTCAAACGTTTCTGCTCGTCGTCTGCTCTCTTAGACTACGCCGGCCCATATATGTTGGCCCGTATACTTGCGATAAGAAGTAAGTGCAGGCTTCAAAAGACTTACGTTTGAAGGTTGGTAAGCAGGCTCGATGTAAACAATAAATACAAGATGTTGATCATTGTTACCAGTGACTATCACCGACTATCTACGCCTAATTGACTTGGTCCGATTCTGCTTGCGATTTTCAGTATCGACATCGACCATCTCAGCTACGGTTCAAGCTTTTGCAGCCCGAGAGGCGTCGCGACTGAAAATTGCGAGCGAAATCTCATCATGCGACTCAGGTTTTTGCGTACATACTGCGGCGTTCACGCGGAATGAATCGCCACATGTCACATTATTAGCGCGAAGTTTCGCGGTGTAACGAGCCTCGGTAATTTCGCTGACGGAGCTCAAGTAGTCAGACATCGCCAGGAAGACGTAAAATCAACAATTCGAACGCGAAAAAGAGCAGGGGGACTCACACCGACGCCGATAACATCGCATTTCAATGGTTTGTCTATGGGCGACGACGAGCTTCTTGCCCACACCCCCCTCGGGCAAGCGCGGCGCCGGTGGCGTCCGCTAGGAGCGCTCCGGTTTGTTTGTAAAAGTTTTCTCGTACTGAGTTGCGGTGAGCGGACGTGTTTCCTGGTTCTCCTCGAGCATCCGAAGCTAAGTGCCAGTTTTTCTTCTTTCCTCTCTCTTTTTTTGAGAGTTGATTGGAAGTGACTATGCGGTAGCAGTATTAGGTTTGAACAGCAGCAGTTAACGTTAGTTTCGCAAAGTAGGCTCTGCTTGAATTTTTGGCGGGAAGGGACGGTTTGTTCCCGGTCTAGACATGGGTCTAGATTTGGGTCGGCATGACAAGGGTAGGGACGAGTTGGTGCAGTGCGAGGGGTGTGGGAGGTGGTGTTACCTGGAGGAGACGGGTTTCGGGAGCCTGGAGGTGGCGGCGGAGGTGAGTTTCGAGTGTCGGCTTTGTATGAAGCTTCAGCAGGTAACTGGGGGATGGGAGGGTAGAGTTCGGGAGATTGAGGCCCAGCTTAAGGCAGAAGGAGAGAAGCGGGTGGGTCTCGAGGCCCAGGTAGAGGAGCTGACTAGGCAGCTTAATCATGAGAGGGAGCAGCGGGTCGGCCTCGAGAAGCAGGCGGAAGAGCTGGGGGAAGTATGGAAGGCGGGTTTAGAGGAGCGTAAGAGGGAGTGTGACAGTAGGGTAGAGCGCCTGGAAGGGGTAATTCGAGCGAGTGAGAGTAGCGAGGGACGAAAGGAGGAAGTGTCAGTTCTAGCGGGACGAACCACCAGTCTGCAGGCTGGGGTCCCTGGTGGTCGGGAGTCCGGCCTGTTGGCAGGCGGGCTCGACGACGCTGGAGAGCTGATTGAACCTCAGCTCAATGGCGCCTTCGAGCAGCAGGCGTC